CTTTGAATTTTTTTTCAAATTTTATATTTGGAGATCTACGGTGTTCTTGTGAATTTTCCGGTGTTAGTGAGTGTTCTGAGGTTTTTCAATGTTTTAATCTTGGGTGCCCATGAGCGTTGGTGTGTAGAATTTCTGCCTTTTTTGTTTGAGCATTTATGCTTTAGCTTAGTCAATTTCTTGTGGGTTTTATAGGACTTTTGTGAATTTTTCCCTGTTTGATCATGTTGCAGCCAATACAGTCTTTGCTGGAAATTTTCTTGCATGCATTCTGGTGGTGGCCCCCAACAGTGAGGAGGCAGCGACCATGGCCGGGGAACTCCGCCCCTGCATTTGCATCGCCTTCTTCATCTTCTTCATCAGCCCAACAAGCCGCCCTGGACCCATCAACCCGCAGCCGAATGATATCGACCGGCCCACATCTACGGTGGGGGATATTTTTGGGAAAAGCTGATCCTCGCGTTGGGTATCGGGATCGTGAACAATAAGAACCCTAATCTGTTTGGAGATCTGGTTAGCTCGCAATTGGGCAGAACAAGAGTAGCAACAATGCCTCTCTAAAAAGCTTTGGTAATGCTGCAAGCCAGAACACGTTCCAAATGGGATATATGGCCAAACATTTTAAAAAACTGGTAATTCAGGTAATGATGGCAAAACATGGGGATCTAATGTCAGTATTGTTGGTAGAAATATGGGTTGGAATTATAACAAAAGTGCAAGTAATATTGTTGGAAATGTGGGTTGGAATTATAATAAAAGCCCAAGTCTTGGTGGTGTAAGTGTGAATTTGGGTGGGAACAACACTATAAACCCGAATCTTGAATTTTCTTTAGTTGTTGTAATTTGTAGATGAATTGTTGGTATACAGGTCTGTGACATTGGAGCTTTCATTTGTATCAAATGCTTTGGTAGTCTTCTAATATTAGATGCTTTGGTGATCTTCTAATATTTGTATCAAATGCTTTGGCCACCTAAGGGCCGGTTCGTTTAACCGGACCGTGAGGGCCGCGGTTCGGTCCGGGTTGCTCTATATTTTTTTTTGTCCGGGCCGGGTCACGGGCTGGAAGGCGGGCTGCTGTGTTGTTTTTATTTTTTTCATTTTTTTTTATTTTCTTTGTTCTGCAGGCCGGTCGATGAACCGGCCCTAAGAAATTTCCGGTTCGGTCCCGGGCCAGGGTGTTGAGGACCGTCGGGGCCGTGTCCGGACCCGTTGAATGGCCATGTCTAATTAGATCATCTCAAAGTTGTGCTACTTATATATAATGCAAACTCATAAAACTTATTGTTAAGTAAATTACAATTCAAATGATGAGGAGAGAATTGGTGTAAAATATAATTTTATTGTAAAACTTTACGTGCCTGTAAAATATGATTTTATTGGAAAACTTTACATATTTTCATCTCTAAAATGATGATGAAGAAATTGATGTATAAAATATGATGATATTTGGAAACCTCTTTATTGCAATACAATGAAATGTCTAAAAAATATTCCTTCCACAAATTTAATAAACAAAATCACTATAGTACCATTTTTCACCACACCTCACTACTACTATCGAAGATATAAGTTGTATCTATCATATAAATTGAAATAATTTTCATGTGTTGTTATTTATATATTGATATATCTCCATTATTATTTAATATTAAATTAACCTTTGTTTTACAAGCTTCGCTTTGACACTCATATATATTGTATGCATAAATAAAAAATAATTTTTTAACGTATCATTTATTAGTGATTTAAAACAAGAAATTAATATCAAGCTGATTATACAATAAAAATAAATGTAGATATAATAAAATATATTTATTACATTAATAAATAATATTACCTAATTTATTATTTAATGTTTATTATTCGTTTGCTTTATTTATAATTTATTTACATAATTTATATTAATTACATTAATAAATAATATTAACGTACATTAAATATTTTTGTTACATAAAATAAAAACAAGAAGAATACTACTTCTATAATTTTTATAAATAATAATAATGACATTATATGACAATAAATTTTATAATAAAATAATAACTAAATATTATGTGGTGAACAAGAATAAATAAAATTGTTATTTTTTTTCTTATATTAAGAAATAAATAAATATACTATAATCAAATTGATATTAGTATAACTATATTTGCATAATAATATATTAATTAGTTTACAGGATAGCGCTAACTGGTTCAAGTTTAAAACTCTGGCTGGCTCAAGTTTAATGCTTTGCCTACAAAAACAACTCCAGTTAAAAGAGGTGGAAAATAGATCATTCAACTCTACTTTTTTTTTTTCAGGACGAAGAGAAAGACCATATGAAAATGACTCATTTAACATCTCTGAAAGGTGAAGAATGTATGATCCATTCTTTTTTTTTTAGGCCTAAGAGACAAACTATATGGTAATGACGCATTTAACATCTCTGTCCCGTGCATCGCACGGGCTACGTACTAGTTTTAGTATTACTACGATTGTATATTGATTTTTGAATGTTTTTTTTTTTTTAATTGATAAAGTTGAAGTCTATTTAATATTTTTATTTCATCATTAGTTTGGCCCAACAATATCGGATTTCAAAATTTCAATAAATAATTGGTAACATTAGTACAAATTTATATATACTAGTTTTACCCCGTGCATTTGCACGAAAATTGATATTGATATGGGATATTATATACTTAAGGAATATACCGGTTCATTAGGCCGGTCGTACAAGCCCAATACGGGAAATGTCACGTCGGTCGAGCAATAGCAAACCGAAAGGAAGTGGTCGAACATCGGAGCAGACCTGGTCGAAGATCGACCTACTAAATGAGAGCTTATCTTATCGACCACCTGGCGAGTGAAGGTTAATCGAGAGCGTGATGTAGGCGCAAGTAAGCGCGTGGTCTTCCTCATAAATTTCCAAGGAATATTCAAGGGAATAATCACCCTCTGCTCAGAAGGGCACGTGGCAAGAGTACATTGGTGCAGAGCGATAGTGGTGATAGCTACCTCTGACACACACACTGTATGCGTACGGATGGGCAGATCCGGGCAGCGTTGAGCAGACAGCTCACCAAATCGGGGCAGCTCCTATGGCAGGTATCTCACTCCTATATATATAGGAGTGAGCCTTTATTGTTACTGACGATTTATCCATTTTTACTCTTACGAATTGAGTTAAACACATACTGACTTAAGCATCGGAGGCTCTTCACCGGAAAAACCCTCTGGTGTGAGAGTTCTTTGCAGGTACGCAGCGTTCTACCGGTGAGGAGAAGGAAGACGAGTCGATTTCAAGCCGGTCTGAGTGTTTTGTGTTACCAGATATAATAGAAGAAAAAGTAATTAAAATATAGATTAAAATAAAATCATAACTTAATAAATGAAAAAACTAATTTAAAAAAGTAAATCTAAATAGTATTAAACACTTCTTTATATACAACATTCATGGTTTTCCTATCGCCAGAATCCCCATCACAACAAATCATTATCGTTAAACCCCGTCGACTCCTAACTCTGGGATTTGACTTTTCAAAATATTTGATATATTTTCGTAATATTCGATTATATATATATAATCGATCTGAATTTATGATTAATTTTTTTTCAAAAAATAATTAATTATTATGGCTCTACCTAATCTATTTTTATTTTTTGTGATGTGATNAAAGATTTGATTATTTTTTAAATAATAACTATTTCCCTCCAAAAAAATCTATTTACTATTTCAGGAAATTAATTTAACAATTTATGGTATATATCAAATGATCACTTATGAAAATCGCGGCTCATTATTTAATAAAGTAATCAAGTCATATTTTAAGATACATTAATTACTCAAATCCTATGAATTAATTAATATATGGTATAAAGTGGACAAATTTATTTTTGGTATTGATGGTTATTTCTATAGGAAATAAATTAATCAATATATGGTATAATGCGAGCAAATTTATTTAGGTTATTTGATGACTGTTTTTTGGTAGGAAATTTGTCGAAAAATTAATCAATATACGGTGTATTTTTTTCTGTAATGAGTAGACCAATATATTGATTTTAGACGTGAGTTTAATTTTGTATTAAATTAACATAATAAAATTACAATAATCCGACAAAATAATATGAACAGATATTTTGATATAATGTGCGTGTATCGATGTTTCTTTTATCGAAAAAGCTCTGGTAAATTTTTTCTTTTTTTTTGTATAATTAGTGGGTCTCGATTTAATTCTTTTTTGTTACAACATTTCAAATAATTTTTGTGTGGAATGTTATTTTTCGCATGGTAAGAAGTGTCAATTTTTTCGGCGTAAAAAACCTTATTACTGAATGTTTTTACTCAACTACTTATATATTTTGATTTGGACATTTTATACAAAAATAAATTCATATTAATTAATGAAACAATATAAGTTTTATATTTATACTTATTATTCACATAGATTTTTAAATATATGATAAATTTACCAAAATAATTATTTTATGGAATCACGTTATAGTCAAATCGAATTTCTGAATAAAAATATTGAAATGGCACATATTTTAAACGAATATAATTTAATTTAGTATCAGTTATGGGCAACGTTCGGGTTGTCTACTAATTTTAAATAGACATTTTTATGTAACTTCGCACCATTTAAATTCTATATAACATTTTCAATAAATTAATATAGGTAGATTTGTATTACATCTTGATTCCATGTTTTTTATTTATAATATTAGTTAATGAAAATTTTAAATTTGTAAATATTAATAAATATCTCTTAACCGTACATCACACGTGATTCGTACTACTTTGATACTAAACCTTAAAAAAATTAACCAATTTTTCTATTTCTACATGATATAAAATTATGTTTAATTTGAAAAATATAAATTAACATAAATGGTTATAGATTAAAGACTCCAAAAATTATAATCACTCAAGACTTATCATTTTACAAACTACTTTATGTCCTTTTAATCGACAATTGATTATCACAAAAAATTATCACAGATGAGACAATATATTCCAACAAGAACATCATTTAAAAAAATTTCTAAATTATTTAGCTTTTTCCACGGCCTTGTCCAAATTTATATACTCGGAATCCATTGTGAACTTATTAATTTACTCGCTAAAATGCAACCATCAGAGAATATTCGAAATGTACCTCATGCCTCCAATTATTGAGCATATTCTAGCCGAGAAACTAACTATTCTCGATTTTTAGCTAAGTGTACAGACAAGTCAACATATGTTTAAGTCGGAGCTTTTATCGAACATATACAAAAAACAGCACGAATGGAGAATGCTAATAATCAGCTCGACCAAACCATGAACACGAACCACGAACAAACTCGAACAATGAATTTAAATGAATAACCAAATTCGAGGCACATGTAACATGCTCACCGTAAGACGAAATTGCCACTGATTAATGCTCACGGTTTTTTGAAAAACATCTCTAAGATACAACGACTTTTATCTTATGTATAGCAACACTTCAAGTACAC